GCAGGACTCGGCGCCCCTCTAGGGCCCGCCTCCCTCCCCTGTCTTTAAGGAGAAGGGCAACCACCAACTGGAGAAAGGAGGAAAAAAAGAAATAAAAATATTTTTATTTTCTATAAAAGGAAAAAGGTATAACAAAATGTTTTATTTTCATTTTAGCAAAAATTGTCTTACAATACTAGCTAACGGCAAAGACGTTTTTATAGGGAAACTATTTATATGTAACATCCTGATTTACAGCTTCGGGAAAAAAAAAAGAAACAACAAAAAAAGAGAGATGGGCCAATTTTTTGACTCTTTAATAGAAACCTATATTGTGGTGCCTTTTGCTGTACGCTAATCTGGAGCTCCTGGAGAAAAGTCTGGGTTGTGGGGTGGGGGCGGGGGGCTGTAGGATCCGGAGCTGGTGGGGGTGAGAGAAAGCAGGTAGAGAAGAGGCTGCAGGGTTGGGGGGTTGGGAGGGACCCAGTTGCGGGGCAGTGATGGGTGGGCCCTTGCCCCCTTGCAAGATCTCGAGTCTTGGATCCCCTGGGAAAGGCCAGGGATCCGAGGCTTGGAGCTAGAGTCGGTGTCAGGTCACGTCAAGAGGGAGACTAAGGCCCAGCGACAGCAACCAGAATGGGGCGGGGGGCCTCCCCACTCCTCACAGCTGCTAAGGGAGGAGGCACTGAGAACCAGGTCTTCCCAACAGTCCCCGCCCCAGGGAGGGGGCAGCTCTGCCAGGGCCCCCCCGACGCTGGAGGCTCCTCCTCCCCATGGCCTCCAGGACGCCCCTTGCCCTCTGCAGCACCTTCGTTTACAGGTCGTCTTTTCTACTTTACGCCTGCATGTTCTTTGCATTTCAGATTCTTTAGATTGGATGCATGGTCACGCTGGGACCTAGAAGAGCCACTCGACAGTGTATTTGATCCCCTTTTAGCAATAAAGTAACATCATTTCCTTCTCAGTCCAACTCCCAGCCTCCATCCCACCTAGGACGTCTACTCCCTCTCCAGCCCCGACCTCCTCACCCCTGAAAACTGGGTCCACTGCTAATTTGTCCAAAAGGTAATTGTTTAAAAAATATCCCAAACAAATGGGAACGCTGCCCTGAAATGTCCAAACACCTGACTGTTGACACTTGAACATTTTTATATTATAAATAAAATCAGAAATAACTCATGTTTGACTGTGTGTGCCTAGCCCTCAGGTGAGGAGGACAGACAGAGGATGAAGACCTGGGGTGGAGATGGATGGATGTTGGTGTGGAAGCTGGAGAGGGCCAGGGTAACCCATGGGAGGAAGACACTCCCTCTGATCTCCCTGGCTCCAGTTCCCAGGGCAGGCTCCAGCACTCCTCCCTCTTCCGAGAACTTTCACAAGGTATCCCCCTGGCTGCTGGGGAACCTGGCCAAGGGGCTGACGCAAATTACTCTGTTTCAAGCTCAGCTTCAGAACCCTGGCCCAGTTCCTTCCCTGGAGCTACAGGGGCCCGACTGAGACAACAGCTTCCGGGCCTAGGTGGGTGAGGAAGGAAGGATTGTGGGGTTGGCACGGGGCAGCTGAGGCAAGATGACCCTTGGGGCTTCAGGCATGTCACAAGCAAAGTCTGGACATGCAACGCGGATAATGGGTACCCTAAGCTGCCAGGAGGACCACAGCTGCTGCAACTTGTAAGCCCACGGGGTGTTACACTTTTCCCAACTCTAGACCCCTCAGAACTAGGGCTTGTCTAAACCCGCATCCCTGATGAAGAGTACATAATTTCAGGCATGGAGAAGGCAGAGGAAGGTCCAGGGTTAAGAACCTTTGCCCTCATTGATTAATTTATTAAACCAGTGCCCAGTGCCAGGAACCATTATGTTCCAGCCCGACGTGAGGAAGTCTTCTATCCAAATTGCTCAGGTGTTTGACTTGTGTGCACAGGCGCATGGATGCCCTCAGATGTATCTGGTCAGTTGGGAGACAGACAGATGGGAGGGACAGCGAGGTTTAGTATTGAGAGGACCTACAGATGTCAGCAGGGCCTGAGCTCTGATTCCACCCCCACCCTCACTACCTGTGTGATTTCTCTAGACTGCAGTTTCCTAGACTTAAATGGTGATGCTGATACCTACTTCAAAGCGTTGTTGTGGAGCTTATCTATGTAAAGCACCCGTGTAGCTTCTGGCACGTGATACAGGCATACCTTGAAGATATGGCGGGTTCAGTTCCAGTAAAGCAAGTCTTGCAATAAAGCAAGTCATAATGTTTTTTGCTGTTGAAGGGTCTTGCCTTCAGTTTATAAAATACACAACATCTGTGAAGCACGATAAAGCGAAGCGCAATAAAATGAGGTCTGCCTGCAGGTGCCTGTAAGCGCTACTCTGATGATGGTGATGAGGATAACCTGTGTCTTGCATTCTTGACTCAAAATAGCAAAAACTAGATGAAAGGGAGTTTATGGAGAAAAATAAAGAACTCAAGTCGTATTCATTGTGGGGGCACTGGAACCAAAAGAAAAAACACATTACAATGAAATAAATGAAAATAATGAACTAAATGCTACACAAACCTGCAAATCACTGACCTCTCCTAGCCTCAATCTGACATTGTCATTCGATCCCTCTACTGGCTCTGAGTTTCTGTTGGCTTTAAATTTTCTGAAAGCCAAGTGGTTCCTCTATGTGACCCCCACGTAATTAGGAATGAACTCTTGGTAAGCCCATTGACCTCTTCATGACCCCAAGTAATTAGGATTGAACTCTTGGTGAACCCATTGACCTCTCCATGACCCAGTTTAGTGTCCTCATTTGGCCCTTCTGAGAGCCTGTTGCTGTTACCTTCTAAACTTTTGGTCAGAAACCACCTCCATGACTCCAATGACCCCACTGACCTCTATATGACCCCAAGTAATTAGAAATGAACTCTTCGTGAACCCATTGACCTTTTCATGACCCCAAGTAATGAGGAATGAACTCTTCACCCAACTTAGTGTCCTCATTTGACCCTCCCGAGGGTCAAGTTGCTGTTACCTTCTAAACTTTTATCAGAAACCACCTCCATGACTCCAATGAACCCACCAACCTCTATGTCAGTGGTTCTCAACCTTGGCTGCACATTAGAATCACCTGGGAATCTTTTTAAAATCCTGATTTCTGGGCCTCATCCTCCAGAAATTCTGTTTCTTTGTTATGGGGTGGGGCCACAACATTAGTAACAAAGAAACAGAATTTCTGGAGGATGAGGCCCAGAAATCAGGATTTTAAAAAGATTCCCAGGTGATTTTAATGTGCAGCTAAGGTTGAGAACCACTGCTCTATGTGACCCCAAGTATTTCTGAATAACCGCCTGATGAACTTACTGGCCTTCACATGAGCCCATTCAGTGCCTTCATTATCTGCTCTGGATTCTAAGATACCTGCTGAGAGTCTAAGGCTGGAACCTAATGTAGTCCTTGATTCTTTTCTTGTCATTGCGGCTACTCATTCATTTCACAAGTGTGAAAGGAACCTGGGAGCAGGCCCTTTCTCCACCCGCCTCTCAAATTTCTGCCTTGTGGCATTTTCAGTTGGCCTGTCAGGAAGAGGTCCAGTTCAGGAAGTGACTTCCCTACTACCACCCTGTCTCCAGGAGCACTTAGGACATTTGGGCAGCTTCCTGAATCAGTCTTTTTCCTCCTCCAATTCTTTCTTCTCTCTGCCAGGTCATCTTTGGCTTGTCTCCCCAGCCCTCCCAGAGTCCCAAATGGTGATGGTGACTGTCTGTCCCCCTCCCCTCTAGACTGTGAGCCCCACGTGGACAGGTAGCTGGTCAATCCTTTTCTCCCCGCAGTATCCCCAGCAACCAGCACAATGTGCAGTACTGTTGACCTTCATTGAGTGAGAGGATGAATGCTCAAGAGACTCTGTCTTCAAGAGGCAGCCTCCAGGAGTCCCTGAGCTGCAGCCACGTCCCAGGACCAGTAGGTGGTGCAACCACTTGCAGCATCTCACCTGCCGTCCTCCGGCCCCTGGATTTGGACAGTCCTGGAAAACGGGCGTTATTTTGTGGGGTGAACATAATGGTCCATTAGAATGCAGGAAAAAAATATTAGAACTTTGATTTACATTTATTTTCATCTCATCTTTTTTAAATTTCTATTTTTGTGTATGTTTTATAATGTACATAATATTTTAGTACAGTAGAACATGTATATAATTTACAATAAATAATTATACAATTAAGAAAGTGAGCTAAAAAATGTTTTTTACTGATCAGAGGCACAACAAGTGCTCAGGGAAGTACATCTGTCTGCAACAGACAGGGCTTGCTCCTCTGTTTTCACTCACCTGCCCTCAGAAGGTGGATTGTGGGAAGCTGACCCCCCAAATCAAAAGACCTTTGAGAAGCATGGAGAAAGCACAGAAAGCTCTTCATGTTGCCACACTGCTCTTTCAATTTCACTTAAATGAGCATTTAATTATCCTCAGCAAAATGAAGGGGCCAGATGGTTTGATTAGAAATACACTTCAGCTGATCCAAATTAAATAATCTGCTTTCTGTCCTTGGTTATCAGGGTTCTCTCCGGCTAGTCCTCAGTTGATTTTTCAGGGTGGTGCTTCCGTATTTTGTATTTCCAGTTTGGTCATGGGAGAGTGTCATTGTAGCTTCCACCTACGCCGCCGCCATTTTTCATACAATCCAAATTAAATAATCTGGATTTAAATCACTACATCTCTCCACAGACTCACATATCCCTCACATGAAATGAGTGGACTTGTAAATGTCGGGTACTTAGTTGCAAGGTTGACTTATTAACTAAATACGTTACCACTGAGATCAAATTGCTGGCCTAACTACATTAATCTATTTAAAAAATAGATAGGGTTTACTCATCATAGCTGCACTGAGGGTGTCATCACCCCCACCACTTGTCAGCCTGAAGGACTCAGGGTTTAAAGGATGCTAGTCTGTGATCATCATGTGGCAAATTTCTCTTTCTTCCCAAACATGTCCTTAGCTAGCATTTCCGAGTCACTACAATAGTGAAAGAAATATCAACTTAAAAAACAATCAGCAACTTGTCATCCCACCTTTTCCCAAGACCAAGGGTGAACAGTTTCCACAACCTTTCCCCCATCAATATCTTCCCGCTTATGGACAAGGGGCTATTTGCAAGGCAGATTGTCTTTTATTCCTGAAACAGCAGATCTGAACAAGAGGCCATCTCTGGAGCACAGAGACCTGGCAGCACCAACATAAAGACCAAAAAATAAACAGAGCCACGGCCCCGCCCCACTCACACACCATGATGCCGGTGGGACAGGTAGGGTGGCGCACACACACTGCCTATTTATTCCAAAACATCAACTGTAAGAGCCATGTAAGTCACAGGTCAGCCGGAAGAGGGGGGAAATGGAGTGAGAGGAGGTCAATACTACTTCCACCTTTCCTTCCAGAGTGTCAGGGCCACCAGGGGGCCAGATAGCAGCCCTGAAATAGGCTTTTCCTTCATCTTATTTTAATTGATATCAGTTCCAAAACCATCTTTAAAGGGGGTTCTTACATAGATATGTAATTCCTGTATCTATACACTTGTGTCCGTATAAAAGAAAGCAGCAGTGGCCTCAATGGATGGATGGTGAGATGGACGCACACATGAGTGGAGACAGTGCAGCTCGGGGGAACAGACCCGGGTCCTTGATTATTGCAATGTGAGCGGGAGAATGGGGTGTGTTTCCAGAGGCTGCTGTGTAGAGGAAGGGAGGATAGTGCTGGTGGTCTGCAGACCTGCTGCTGCTCAACTCAGAGGAAGGAGAAGGGAAAGGGGTGGGGGTCCAAGCTGAGACCTGGAGTCCAGGCCTGCCCTTCGAAACAAGAGCGATGAGGGAAGAACTTGTGAGAAGACGAAGGCCTGGGAAGTCCACTGCCCTTCCCGCTTCACCAGTGAGATGGTATATAGAGCATGCACACAACAGGCCTACAACATGAGGCTCCGTGGTGGACAGGGATGCAAGGGCTGAGGAGAGGGTCTGAGGCCCAGAAAAGCCCTAGAATACAAAATCAATGCCATGGATAGCATCTCCATCTCCTTGGCTCATGGGACTCTCCACACCCCTCTGGCTGCCCATCGCTGCCTGGAGCTGGCCCAATTGGCCTGTGGCTGGAATTGTGCTCTCTGACCCCTCTGGGGGCATCTGCCTGCTTCTGGGGCCTGCTCATCCGTGGAGCTAAGTCTCAGGTCCAGTGGTATCCTTCGTGGCTTTGCTGCCAGTCACAGATCCATGGCCCTGGCTGAGGGCAGGGCTCGAGTGTGTCTTGCGGAGGGAAGGGTCGTCCCCTTCCAGGGGGGCCAGCCGGGCCTCAATCCGCTCCAGGTCATCTGAGCCCACTTTGATTTTCTCAGCCAGGAGGTGGATATAGGTCTCATAACGGCTTTTCTAGGGAGAGAGCAGAGAAAGGTAAAAAACAAAGTCAAAAGACAGCAAAATGTGGAAAACGATTTGTATCTTAGATGACAAAAGACTAACTTCCGTAATATTCAGAACTCCCATAAGTCAATAAAAAGGAGATAAACAATCCAATAAAAATAATAGGAAAGCACAGGCAACAACAGTAAAAACAAATGGGATTACATTCAAAAACATTTTTAAAGAGGAAGTCTTTTTTAAATATGTTTTTATTGATTTTTAAAGAGAAAGGAAGGGAGAGAGACAGAGAGAAACACCTATTGGGGATTAAGCCTGAAACCTGGGCATGTGGCCTGACTGGGCATCGAACCAGCAACCTTTTGGTACACAGGACAATGCTCAAACAATTAAGCCACACCGGCCAGGGCAGGATTACATCAAAATTTTAAACTTCTGTGTATCTAAGGACCCAATCAATAGAGTAAAAAGGAAATCTAAAGAATAGAAGAGCCCTAGTCAGTTTGGCTCAGTGGATAGAGCATTGGCCTGTGGACTGAAGGGTCCCGGGTTCAATTACGGTCAAGAGCACATGCCTGGGTTGTGGGCTCTATCCCCAGCAGGGGGCATGCAGGAGGGCAGCTGATCAATGATTCTTTATGCTATGTGTATTTTATCACAACTTAAAATTTTTAGAAATATTTTTTATTGATTTCAGAGAGGAAGGAAGAGGGAGAAATAGAAATATTGATGAGAGTGAATCATTGATCAGCTGCCTCCTGCACACCCCCTACTGGGGATCGAGACCTCAGCCCTCAACTCGGGCATGTGCCCTTACTGGGAATTGAAGTGTGACCTCCTGGTTCATAGGTTGATGCTCAATCACTGAGTCATGCTGGCTGGGCACAATTAAAAATTTTTAATTAATCCAAATTAAAATAGCAATAAGACACCACTTGCTGAGCCTATCAGATTGGTGAAGATTAAAACATTCAATAATATCCAGTGTTGGTGAGGGCATAGACAGAAAGGTAAATTCACAAGCGATTAACCGAGTTGTAAATTGATAAACATTTAGGAGGTTGATTTGACAGTGTCTGAGGGCCTGGACACTGAGCTTAGGCCCTCATCACAGTCAAGGGGGCTAAAGTCCTAGAAAAAGCAGGGAGTGAGGGTCAGGAGACTCCATTCCTGCCCAGCTCACACATGGGAACAGAAAGGCCCTTCATTGCAGGGCTTCACATCCCGCTCCCCAGTTAAACCAGGTGGGAGTGAGAAAGACCAGGACACTGGAACTATAATCTATCCCCTGGTTTAGGATCCTGGCTCCTGCACTTCTTTTTAACTATGTCACCTCAGGCAAGTGATCTGACCTCCCGAAGCCTCAATTTCCCTGTCTGTGAAATGGGGATCATAACAGAACCGACTTCACAGAGTTAATATGAGGATTAAATCAATCCATAGAAGGTAAGTGATGAGAATCACACCTGGAAATTCATAAGAGATCAGTCCACTGTAGCTTTTGCCATCACCATTTTTACCTTGCAGAGAGTGTGGATCTGAGAAGATTTCTATAAGCTACAAAGCTTTATGTTTTTCCAAATGTCAGGGTCTATCAGGGTCTCTCCTCTCTTCCCCACACCTCAACAGAAAATCAGTGCAGAAATTTAGAGATTGAGATTGGGTAACTTCTCGCCCTTCCTGCTCTGGGGGCTTCCTAGCTCAGTTCCAGCCTATCTGGCTGGCTGTCCACTCCCATGTGCAGGGCAGTCCCAAGGCCGGTCCAAAATGGCTCCTGCCTTCCTCCCTCAAGCCAACCCCCATCCCTCAACCAATGAAGGTGACACTCAGTCAGCCCCATTTGGGAATCATCGTGGGCAGAATCAGGGGAGTGGGCAGAGAGAGATGAGATGGAAAGAAGGGAGAGCTTTTACAGTGGTTCTCAACCTTTCTGATGCCGCGACCCTTTAATGCAGTTCCTCATGTTGTGGTGACCCCCAATTTCATTGTTACAAATTGAACATAATTAAAGCATAGTGATTAATCACAAAAAACAATATGTAATTATATATGTGTTTTCCGATGGTCTTAGACGACCCCTGTGAAAGGGTCGCGGCCCACAGGTTGAGAACCGCTGGCTTAGAAAGAGAGATGAAGTTGCTCTGCTCAAGAAACATGGTGAAAGAGGAAAATGAGACAAAGAGGGGAAAGTCACATGGATAGGGCGTGGGATTCTGTAGCTTCCTGAGAAGCTGGGCCTGTGGGAAAGTGGAGGTGAAGAGGGGCTTGAGAGGAGAGGAGCGGTGAGAGGGGAGGAAGGTCTGGTAGAGCCCAGCTGGTGCTCTTTGGGAGACATCACTGACAGCTGGACTGTGCAGACTGGCCCATAGGAGACCATGCATGGTTCATGATTGCCTCAGGGGAGCCCCAGACTAGGAAACCCCCTGACTATGGGACGATGTTGGTGGTGAGAAGTGGCAGAGGGTAGGTGGAGCTGGCCTCCTGGGCCCCAGCCCTGTCCGTCACCATCCATCCCACAGAGGCCCACCTCAAATGTGAGATAGTGCTCCTTCAGCCGGCTCTCCTCCGCCTCCTTGGACTTGTGGCCCCTCTCCACTGGGCGACACTTGTGCTCAGCCAGTTCTGCCGTCACCTGCCTCAACTTATTCTCATGAGAACGCAGCTGCTCCTCCTGCAAAGACAAGTCCTGCGCCGTGAGATCCCGCTCTCAGGATGTCATAGGGGCGCATCTAATCCTGTCCTGCCAGGATCTGCTTCACCACAGGGAAACTGAGGCCTGGCCAGGGTCATCAGTATGTGGGGTAGAGCCAGGCTCTGGAATTGAGGGAATGCTCCTCCACCTTCTTCCTTCCTCCCTGCTTGGCATCAGCTCTCCTAGATACCACGCCCCACCTCCCCCAGCAAGCTTGGGAGACTAGAGACCTAAGCCTGTATGTGCACATACACACTCCCTGACAGACACACAATCACCCAGAGACATGCCCTGGCTCATATGGACTCTCAGATGCACACACAAACACACTGGACTGGGGGCAGCCTGGCCTTAGTTACCCCTGGCTCCACACAATTCACACATTCTCTTACACTCATGCCAGCCACATATAATGGTCACAGACCCAGGATCACACTGAAAGACAGGCAGAGACACTGTCACACAGACAAGAGCATGCACACATCCCACCACAGTAGAGTCACATTGCTTTGTGCTATGTGAGCAATGGGCTGCATGCATGTGTGTGCACGTGTGTGAATGCATGTACAGTGCATTGAGTAAGCATGCGTAGAGGCTCTGGGCCTAAGCAGCAGCCCCAGGAGCTCCGTGGAGAGACCCAGGAGAAGGGCCCTGTAGGAAAAGGGCCAGCAGCTGGCAAAGACAGGACGTAAAAGCTTCCCGTGCCCTCTCCCTCTCAAGCTGTGGTCCTCCATTTAGCCTTTCCTCTCAAAATAAAAACACAAAATAACTGAAAAGCTGGAGTTTGGATGAATTGGAGTTTCTGGGATTACAAATAAAACATTTAAGGGTAGATGACTGGATAAAGGATCAGTCACGTCTTCCTACCCCTAGCTCCCTGTAACACACACATTTTCTCACACTCATGCCAAACATACATGATGCCCACCGACCCGCAATCACACCCACAGGATACACTGCCGTTGGCATAGAAGCACACCCATCCCACTCGCCACAGCATAACCAGGCCAGTGTTGTGTGTGGCCTCAGTCTTCCCATCTGTAAGTAGGGGTGAGCGGGGAGAGTATCTGTCCCTTCGCCTTGGCTCTGAGCCCAGGATACTGTGTAGGAGCTGAGGTGAGGGCTATTAAATGAGGGGGCCTGGCATGGGGGAGGCAGCCTGGGGAGGCGGTGCTATGAGCCCAGGAGCTTGTACCTGGCAGAGGCGAGTGGTGCAGGAGGGCAGCAGGGGCCGACAGAACTTCTTCATGGAGCTGACAGCAGCTGGGAAGGCCGGGGCTGAGAAGATGGCGGCCACCAGGTTGATCCTAAGGATCCAGGACAGCATTTCTTCTTTGCTCCTGGGGACAGAATGGGAGGGCAAAGGGCACCCGTGCCTCACAATAGGACTCCCTCTTCCCTATCCCGCACCCCATACCCAGCACTAGCCTGGCAGAGAGAGAGCACAAGTACCTCCACGTAGGTGGGCAAAGGAGTGAGGGAGGAGGGTGGGCTGGGGGGCTGAGGTGGCCTGGTCATATCTGGATAGGGAGCTCCCTTCTGTCCCAGATCCCAGGCAAGACCTGGATTTTCATGTGAAGATAAAGCTGCCAGGTCCAGAGCTCAGGCCATGGAGCTACGGGGTCCTGGAGCCGGATGGCCCAGGATCATTAGAGGCAGCCGGTCATCCCCACCTCCCTCCCGGGCACAGACACGCCCATCCTGAGAGCTCGCCTACTCGCCTCTCTCATATGAAACGTGAAAGCCCCGTCTGAAGTCACAGGAGGATGGTGTACAGGGGAGTGGACGGACAGCCTTACAGAGAAACTGTAGGGCAAGTCTTTCCCTCCCGTCCCCCCACCACGACTTAAAGTGGAGGATGGTTCATAGACTCCATCTGCCCCTTGTGTAGGGAGTTCAGCACCAGAACCACCTGGGGGGCTTGTTAAAACCCAACTGCCGGCCCATCCCCACAGGTTCTGAGTCAGCAGGTCTAAGGTGGGGCCAGAGAAGCTGCATTGCTAACAAGTCTCCAGGAGACGCTGAGGAGACCACACTTGGAGAACCACTGCTGCAGGGGGGTGGGGGGGCTGCTGTTGGTTTGTGCTGAGCGGATACGCATGCAGGGGGAGCTGAGGGCACCTCCCCTAAAGCAGATGAGGAGAGGGGTACGGTGCAGGCTCCCTGTTGCCGGCTCTGAGTCCAAAGGGAGCAAAGGGCTCCCACTCCTACTCACGGTGCCTGGAACAGGAAGACCCTCCAGTCAGCCGTCTTCAGCTTGAGCACATTGGACTTCTTGCTGTAGTCAGAGGCCCGGGTGGCCAGAGCATGGTGCACGCGAATGGCGTTCTTCAAGTCACCCTCAGACAGAGCTTTGTCAGGCCTGTACTCATCCTGGACAGGTGGGATAGAGGTGGGCAAGGCTCTGTCATGGCCAGGCTCAGGCTTACTGACCCACATTTCCTCCACCCTCGCCTGCCCTCCCTCTTGTTCTCCCTCTCTCTGTTGAGATATCTCCCTCCATGTTCAAGTCCTGCTGCTGTGACACCATGCCAACCCCAACAAGAATCACTGCAGGCACTCCTCAGTTACCCCAGAGGCCTGCACAGGCCTTACACTGCTATCCTCTGAGCCCCTGGGCACTTAAAAACACTCTCCCTGAACTGACCAAAGCTCTGGGTGAGCCCAAGTCGGGCCCCTTCTTGATTAGGACCCAGCATCTACCAGCCTAAGCCCCAGGTCCTTTCCAGCACACTCTGGGCACAAGGCAGGGGCTGGTTGGGGGAATGAGCTGACCCTTGCTGGGCAAGGACACTGAGGCAGTCTCTCACCTTCTGCAGGTACAGGATGGTCCCTTTGAGCACCGCATAGAACTTCTTCCAGCCACGCCTCCCACGGGGCGCTGGGGACAGGGCACAGGTAGTGTGGCTGCAACCACCCACCCCAATATCTCCTCCCCTGCCTCCCAGCACATCTACCTGCATGTGCATCCCCGGAAGACTGGCAAAGGGGGTGGATCCCACCTGGACTAGCATCCCTCCCCACGCCTCTTCCCCCGCCTGACACCCACTCCTCTTGCCATCCATGTCCGCGTGGGTCTTCCGGGTCAGCACACCATGCTTGTAGGTGGTAGCGCTGAGAGCCTGTGGGACGTCCAGGAAGGGGTTGCCACCATCCAGGATCCGTGTCACCTTCTTTGTGCCGGTCCCAAACTTGTCATCCACCAGCTCAGACAGTGACTTCCTCAGCTCATCCTCGTCACTGGGAAAGCGCTAGGCCTGAGCACCACCTCCGGGAGGCCTCAGCCCCACCTCAGCATGCCCTCGACCCCCCAACCACTCCTCTGAGAGCCAGTCAAGGGGAAGAGCAGAAAAGCAGAGGTTCCGATTCTAGAGCTTTGACTCCTCCCTTCAAGTCTTCAGTTCTGACCCTTGACCTCTGCTTTTTGATTTTTTTTTACCTCCAAGTTCCAATCCACCCTTGATCACAAAGTTGAAGACCTTATTATCTCCAGATCTCCTTCCTGGTCTTCATCTTCTCTCCAACCCTGAAAGCCCAGCTCCAGGGAGCAGTAACTCACAGCCAGACTGAAGCTGCTGCCCAAGCCCCACAGATATGCTGGGGAAGGGCAGCCAGGAGGTGAGGACTCCCATTGAGCATTGGTAGAAGTGCCAGCTCTTCCCCGTGGGGTTGAAATTCCTAACAAGCCCCGCCTGGGACCTCTGCACAGATCCAAAGACTCAGGCTGCCCTGGGGACACAGCAGGGCAGAGCAGCCGCTTTCTCCAGAGCTACTCAGTCTCCCCAACGAGCAAGGTCACCTCACCTCTTTCCAAGTGGCCCACCTTCAGGACTCACTGCCTTCACAGGGAAAGTTAGGGGGCAGCCACCCATCCCCACTGCCAAGAACAGTTGCCGCCTAAACATGGTCGGTCATATTCTTGGGTTATAGGGAGCCCCATGCCTCCTGTCTACCTACCTACTTCCCAAAGGGGAAAGTTATTATTTGGGAATAGTGACAGTATCTCCAATACAGGAAGCCAATGTGCAACTAACGTCACCGTTCAATCTGTTCCATAGCAGTGTAAACACTGCACACTTTTTATCAAGACAGAAAACGAACCCAAAGGGGAAATCAGGTTTGGCCAGCTGGACAGGGGTCAACAGGCCCTGGGGTGAAAAAATCAGCACCATGGAGAGTGGCATGAATGCCATCCCAGCACCCCCCAGCCACTCCCGTTCGCCCTCCCAGTGAGTGATTCAGTGTCCCCATACTTGGGCCCATGGACACTACTCACATGGCCCATTCCAGCTTTTCATTCTTGATGGAGTTGTAAAGGGCCTGGGAGAGGAGTAGAGAGAGAGGAACTCTAATGAAAAATCAAAGAAATCTCCATCTACCTCTAAAAATGTGGACACAGTGAGGGAGCACCTTTCAGCCAGTGGGGCAAGTGGGTGTTTGATTCATGCTTGTTTGTTGGATGGGTGAGTGAATGAGGCGGATGATTGGGTATATGACTGGGTGGACAGATTTGAGTATGAGAGAGTAGGTAGATGGGTTGGTAGGTAGGTGAATGGGTGGGGAAATGGGTGGATGGTGAGTGGGTGACTGGTGTGGGGGATATTTAGGGGTGTAGGGGATGTCTGTATGGGTGATGGGTGAATGACTGAGTTGATGGGTGAGAGGGTGGAAGGATGGATGCATGGGAGGCTGAATTTGTGGGTGAATGAGTAGATGAGAAGTGTGTAGGTGGATGGTGAGACTGAGATGATTTGATCTCACCAATAACAAGTGCTTCTTGATGGTGAAGAAAGTAATTATAAGAGAGTGGTGGAGACAATCTTTTATTTTTTTAACCTCCAAACTCACTATCCAACTGTCCCTCTGGTATCACCAGGACCTTCAAACCCACTATCTAAAACTGAACTCATTTCTACCTCAAAACAAAACAAAACAAAACAAAACAAAACTGTCTTTCATCCTCTAAAGCAAGAACTGACCAGGCCTATAAGGCCAGAGCTCTACCCTGGGCCTCAGCCTCAAGGGAAAACTAAATTCCCTTAATTCCTGGGGATGTTGAAGGAATGAGTGGGATTTTTCTTTATGGTGAAATTGATGGCAGTGGTGGTGGTAAGGATGGTGGTGATGGCCATGAGAGCTGTGACAGTTGGTGGCAGTGCTGATGTGACCGTGACACCTCTGCCTAACTCAAGACACGTAACAGTCAAATGTTGAGCTGGATGATCTCTAACTCCGTCCCAAAGTCATGGTGGCCCTGACCTCGGCATTAAGAATCTAGAATATAATTGTAGTGGGGCAGAGGCCTCTCTTCTCTCCACCCACCCTGGAACAGCTGGGGAAAGGGGAGCCCTTAGCAGGTTATACCTTCAGCAGGTCTTTGGCAAAGTCTTGGCCATCATTCAGGTGGTCCAAGTTGGCAATGAATTGCTGGCAGGACATCTTCTTGCCAATGTTCTGTAATGGAGAAACAGTTCTGCCTGAGAGTAGGGCAGAGCCTGGTGCCATCCCCACACCTGCCCTGCCCAGCCAGAAGGGATGAGGCAGCATCAAGGTGAGGACTTCCCTCTGTCTCCAAGAGTTTACAAAACTCTTTATTTACATTCAAGATCTATTTGATCCTCGAGCATCATGAGAGGTTGGGGTTCTCCTCAAACCCAGCTGAAGGAGTCAGATTGAATGAAGTATTGTAATAGTTGACATTTGCCAGGTGCCTACTATGTTCTAGGTATTGCAGTTGACATGCATGACATTGTTTCTTTTCACAAGGAGAAGGAACGGTGGTTGTTATCATTAACCCCATCTGACAGGTAAGGAAACTGAAATGCAGGAAGATGATATGCCCATGATCACACAGCAAGGAAGTGGAAGGTCTGAGTGTGTCTGACACCCAAGCCCATGCTCTCACCCGCTCCTCCATGGCTAACTCTCCCCAGGTCTTGAAGCCAGGCCTCTTGGCTCCTGAGCAGAAGCTCTGTGTATTCCGTCACAACTGTCTCACCCTCTCACCTGTGCAGAGGGGTGGCAGGACCTCTAAGAGGTCGGTGAAGTGAGGGAGAGTTTGGTCTTATGAGAATCAAAAATCAATTCCAACCAACACATATGGGTACCCCGTGCTGAGCTTGGCTGGAACCAAGGGAACCCAAGCAGATGGTTTTACTCCAGGACGTACAAACAGACAAATAGCTGGGAATAAGCAGACCCCAAAGTTCTGTCTTCATATTTTTTACCAACTAAGTAGCAAAGGGGCTCCAGCCCTCCAAACCCAACACCTGATACTTTCAGATTCTCCTTGCAATGGCCACATTTGAGGAAACACTGGATGACACTTCATCTCTGTGAACACGAAGACCCTTGAACACCAGATACTTATCGGTGTAGTATTTTGTGGATTTAGGTTTGCTATAGACGGTGTCTCCCAAGATTACCTACCACTGGCATAGGTATTCCCCTAAAAGGGATTTCATAATCAAGTAAGTTTACTTACATGTTTCAGGGTCTTTAACATGCTTAAATGTCTCCAAGGTAATGATTCCATGGACAATTTCCCAAATTTATTGACTTTGGCGCCATTTTAACAAAGAGAATCTATTAACATCATGTGTGACACTTATACGCCACAGAAAACAATTCAGAAAGCAATGAGACAAGGTTTTATGAGTAGCTGACAAGCAAGAGTTTTCTCGACCTTTTCCAAAGGCTTAAGGAGAAGAGATCCTACGTGTGCATTGATATAGTGTGTTTCGTATGTTTATGTGTATACATGTTTGTATGTATGCATGTGCATATATAGCCATGTATGTGTGCACTCATAATAGAGGAGTATGAAGGCAATATTGATAATATTGTCTGAGTTCCACACACACTGAACATTCCCCAGCCATCAGTCGGGAGTACAAAATCAAAAAAATAACCAGGCAAATTTTCCAATCCTCATAACAACAGACCATCTTGTTGCAGCTAAAACCTCTCAGAAAAAAATAATTGCTGGTCAAAATATTAATAAAACATCTGGGTGAAGGCACTGGGAGAAATATAAAGGTAGTGAGGACTTCAAGGGTAAAGATCCTGCCAAGGAGGGAACTATGGAGAGGTAAGTCCAACATTTTTTAATCCTCACCCGAGGACATGCTTATTGATTTTGAGAGAGAGAGAGAGGAAGGGGGAGAGAAAGAGAGAGAGAGAACACTAATATGAGAGAGGAACATGGATTGGTCACCTCCCTGCACATGCCCTGACTGAGATCAAACCAGCCACCTTTAGGAGTATGGGACCATGCTCCAACCAACTTGAGTCACACAGGCCAGTCAGTTGGAATTTTTAACACTGCTTTCTTGGTAACAGGAAGAACAAGAATATTAAACAATTAATTAGTTAACAATTAAGTAATGCAAATAAATTAGATAACCTAGATGAAATGGACACATTCCTACAAACACACAAACTACCAAAACTGGCTCAAGAAGAAATAGGAAATCTGAATAGACCTGTAACAAGTAAAGGAATTAAATCAATAATCAAAAACCTCACAATAAAGAAAAGCCCAGGACCAGATGGCTTCATTAGTAAATTTTATCAAATATTTTTAAAAATCAGCACCAATACTTTTCAAACTCTTGCAAAAAATTGAAGAGAAAAGAACACTTCCTAACTCTTCCATTCGGCCCTGATACTAAAACTTGACAAAGACATCACAAGAAAACCTATGACATTTTCATGACCTTGGATTTGGCCATAGTTCCTTACACATGACACTAAAATCAAGCAACAGGATAAAATAGATAAATTGGACTTCATAAAACCTTAAAACTTTTGTGCATCAAAAGACATTATCAAGAGAGTAAAAAGACAACCCACAGAATGGGGAAAAATTGCAAACCATATATTTTATGTTATGTGTATTTTTACCACAATAAAAAAAATCACTAAAGAGAGACACAAGATTTTTGCAACAAAATTAAAAGACTTGACCTTATCTACACATATAGGGTATTTCAACCAACACCTAAAGAATACATTTCCTTTTCAAGTCCACATGAAACAGCTACTAAAACTGATCTCTCTCTGGATAGAAAAGCAAGACAACAAATTACAAAGAAGTGAAATCACACCAGGTAAATTATCCAATTTAAAACATAATTACAACCAAGCAAAAAGACATGTACCCAGAAAAGAAAAGAAAAAGACAAATACACAGATCATCCCAAAGCCAAGGGTGGAGGGATGAGCTGAGACCTCCAAGTTCCCAACTCTTCTCTCCCCACCTCACCCCATTTGGGATCAACAGGGCCTCCCAGCCCGCCCTTGACCCTCAGACCTCCCACAGCCTCTGTCTCCCAGCAGGAGATTATGGCCAGCCTGGCCATAGACCCATCCCAAGGCCCGGAGGAGAGGAGGCAGTGAGGTGAGGAAGAGAGAGGGAAGGCACACAGCAGGGGACACTGTTTCCATGGGGTCCTTTAGAGAGCTCACAGTAACTCCAACAACCAGGCCCTGGGCTAAAGGCTTGGCCGGTGCTGTCTCCTTAAGCCTCATGGGACTTGACAATGGGGAACTGAGGTTTAGTGAGTAAGTAACTTGCCCCGGGCCACACAGCTGTTGTGTGGAGAAGCCGATGACCCTTGCTCCTGATCGTTGAGCAATACTGCCTCTAGAGCGGTGGTTCTCAACCTTGGCTGCACGTTAGAATCACCTGGGAATCTTTTCAAAATCCTGATTTCTGGGCCTCATCCTCCGGAAATTCTGTTTCTTTGTGACTAATGTTGTGGCCTCACCCCATAACAAAGAAACAGAATTTCCGGAGGGTGAGGCCCAGAAATCAGGATTTTAAAAAGATTCCCAGGTGATTCTAATGTGCAGCCAAGGTTGAGAACCACTGCTCTAGAAAGATGGCATCCTCCATGTCTCTTGGCTGCTAATATGAACAGTCTTGCCCCACCCACCTCTGAACTATGAAGGTGCTGAAGTTTCCCTTCAGCTAGAGGCATTAATGTGGGGCCATGGGCAGCTAAACCCACCAAGCTCAGGAGTATTATCCACCCAGGGGGTTCACTGAAGAGCGGCTGCTGCCCTCCTTAGCAGCTCTTAGCCATGGAGGGGGCATCCAGGGTTTGGCACAGCAGTGACTGGGTCCTGAGGTTGCTCTCAGGCCCGGCCAAGGGTAGGTGGGGTACGTTTAACGTTCCTTTTAAGATGTGCTAGTAAGACCTGCTCTCCATACACAGAGCGAGCTGGTCTTGGGGGAACATTAGCAGGTTAATAGGTATTAGCTCTGGTGACATTCCCATGGGATACACATATCTTCCATCCTTCCACACATGGCCATGGGCCCAGGTGGACATAACCAAAGTTGTCACATGACCACTCTTCTTACGAAGGTCACAAGGCTCTCACCTCCCCAGGTCAGGTGCCCCCATGTGCCCTAGTCCACTCAGGCTGTCATTGGACTGTGGCCTTTGCATTCTTGACCCTGCAGGAATCTTCAGGCTGGGCCTTTTGGTTCTCCATCAGGTAAACGTTAATAGTAATAATGAAAACTATTGCTATTCTTACATAATATTATTCATAATTAAATCCTTCCTAGGTGCCAGACCTTGACATTTGGTGTTGTGTACATTACCTCTCAGCCCTCCCAGGATGATGTGTGGGAAACCGTTACTCCCACCTACAGATGCAGAACCTGAGACCAGAGCGGGCTGGTGTCCTGTCCAGGGTCACAGAGCTACCCCGTGGAGGCAAGAGTAGGATCTGAAGTCGGGTCTGTCCCAGTTCTTTCTTCCACCCTATGTGCCTGGAATTCTGGGTTCACTCTGGAGCCAGACCTGCTGCCCTGTTGTCCCCATGAGTCACTAAAATATCCCCAACCCAACAGGGGACTCGGATCTGGGTGAGCAATGAGTGGACAGCGATTGGTGGGGCCAGACACAGTGATGGGGGCATGGAGGGGAACATGGAGATGAGGGTCTAGGGCTCACAGGACATGCACACCAGCAGCTACACTTACCACCTGAGGGAGGGCAAGAGAGCCCAGAGGGAGGTCCCCGGAGCAGATAAGGAAAAAGGAGTCATTGAGTCAGAGCAGCACTCAGAAAGCCCAGGGCCCGGACCAGACAGCCTCACAGCCCACCTGTCCCTCCACTGTTTGGCTGGTGGGCGGCAGGGTGATGAGAACGCCTCTGGAGGGAAATTGCCATTTGACAGGGAGGGGCTACCCGGGGTGTGGCGCTTCGATGGGGCCACATTCGGACTTGTGGGATGATGGGTAGGAAGAGCATGTGACCTTTTAGCAACGACTGGCCTGGGCGCAGCTAGGGTCACACCTCTTATTCAGCACACCCCAAATTCCTCTCACTGCCCTGCTTGGATGGGGCCGAGACCCGTGTCAGATGGATAAACTAGGGCAGGACCATGTCTAGAGGCCACACTGCCCAGCCCTCTGGTCTGCTGAAGAAGCATGGCCCCTAAGCAGTAGGTCTCAGGAAGGGGGCTGGAGGAAGGGCTGGCCCCTGACAACCTGGGTGAGTCCGTGAGAGGACACCTCTCCTCCCCGCCTCCCCAACTCACATGTCCATGCAGGTCCGTGTTGAGCAGCATCAGGGCACAGGTGAGCGTGTGGATCCCATCTAAATCAGAGATGGCAGCACCCTCAGTGTGAGGGCTCACTCACTCCCACCCCCAGCACCCCCTTGTCTCCTGACAGAGCCAGACTGAAGGCCTCAGAGATTGGAAGAGGCCAGCCACCTGCTAAACCCATCTCAGGGCCCAGTGCCAGTGTGATGCCCCTCGTCCTACCCCCACTGAAGCCCTGGAGTCACTTGCCTGCCCAAAGTCAGGGCCAGCCCCCCGCCCGCCCCCTCTGAGGAGACCTGGCCACCCTGGGCCTGCTCTGGCTCAAACTCCTGCCTTCTGTGGCCAAACTCACCTTGAACCTCAGACCCAGGAATGGCTCTTCCAATAACTGGCCTAGTCCCCCAGTTTCTGGAACTCAGATCCATCCTGAGGGCAGGTCCAGCCCCTAACAGGGCCCCAGCCCAGACCCCCACATCAGGACTCCCACACTGAGAGTCGGCATTGCAACGGGGACCAGGGAGAATGAAGACCCAAAGGACTGACTCTCTAGGATGGAGGGTGTCAGGCCTGGGGCATGACAATGGGCAAGACATCAGGCAGGCTGTGCCCATTTCACGCGCTGTAGTTCATTCACTCAGTGTCTACTGGGCAGGACAGAAGTGGCAGGCAGACCAGGGCAGGAGGAAGCCAGGGCCTGGCAGGGAGGGGCAGCGTGGGGCAGGCAGAGTGGGGCAGGTGGCCATACCTTCCGAGGTGCTGTCATCGGGGTTGCACTGGCAGTACCGGCGGGAGAAGTGAGTGAGGACCCGCTCTCGCTCCTGTGTCTCCCCCATCAGCGGGAAGGCCTTCAGGAAGGTTCTGAGGGGCAATTCAAGGATGCTGAGGGCCTCCCAGAGCCCCTGAGTCAGTCTGGGTAGGAACCCCCACCACACACACACACACACACACACACACACACACACACACGCACCTGCCCAAAGGGGCCAATGCTCTAGTGTCCCAGCATCCAAGCTCAGGGACGGCCCCTGGCCCCCAGGACAGCTTCTGGAGTTCCAGCCCTCATCGCTCTCCAGGGCCTTTGGGAAGTAGGCAGGGGACAGATGGCGATGGACAGAGGAACGCCTCAGTGCCGGCATCAGCTCTTCTTTGGGGTAAAGGCCCACTCCTTGCTCCCTCCTCTGTGCTGACCACACCTGCCCCTCAGACTGCTCGGCCTCAGTCACACCCACTCCTCACTCTGTGTGCTACCAGGTAAGCCCAGAGCACAACCCTATCCCCCCTCATTCTTCCCCCACCCCAAGTCTGAGCTGTTACCAAGTTGTTCTTCACCCCTAATCTCAACCCTTCCTCCTCCTTCTCTGTCCTCATCATGGGCCAGGACATCTCCAGTCAGGGGCACCCCTGCAATGCCCCGACACATCCTCCCTGCAGACACCAGTGGTCTTTCTTTCTAAACTCACATGCAGTCAAGACTCACCCCTGCTTAAAACTTGTTGCTGGCTCACCAGAGCCCTCAGAATAATGGCCTGGCCCTCCTGACTACACAAGCCCCCTCCTGTCCCTGCAACCTTGCACCACCTGCTGCCTCCCCACATGTATTCAGACCCTGGACAGGATGGGCACTTTCACTGCTCGGGGCCTCTGAGCGGCTGGGCCCTGCCCAGAGGCCTTTTCTCCTCTGCGGGGCAGCTCCCAACCCCTTCCAGGCCCAACGCAAAGGGCAGAGCTCTCAGGGGCCTGATCCCCACACCAGAGGGCCTGGAGGATGGGGCCAGGTCCCTCGCCTGGGGAAGCTGTGAGCTGAGATAGTTTGGGTCTCTATCTGTCTTGGTTCACAAAGCTAATTTGTTCCTAATTTGGCGATGGTTCACTTGGTTTCTGTGGTGCCCACTTTGCTTGATCCTCTCTCACGCTGCTCCTAAGGCACCCCGGGACCTGTGAGCCCAGCTCAGCCAGTCCTGACCCTCTGAGGCTTCCCAAGGCATCGGAAACTGCTGACGACTGTTCCATCCCAATAAACCAACTGCTGTACAAAAACCCTCTGCCTGCCATCGAGTTTTCTTCCTCTCCCTGTCTCTCCCGCTCTCTGTTCCCTTCCCCTCGGCTGGCCCCCAGCTCTGTGTTTCCTCTCCCTCTTCTCACACCCACCTGCACTTTCTAAAACCCATCCCCCATCCCAGCCTTAACCTGTCCCACCGATGAGCCATCCAGCCCAGCTCCTACTCCCCAGCTCAAACACCCCCTCCCTGGGGGCTTCCCCAAGCCCCAGCCCAGCACAGCTGCCACCAAACTCAGGCCTGTCTTCTACCGCCTGGTGGAATATGAGAAGCCTGCCGCCTCTGGGTCAAAAGCTTCCCGCATGCGGCTGTCAGCACCGCCCCTCAAACCCTGCTTTATCCCCAGCACCTGCTGTGGCTCCTCAATCTATTGGGCTGACACGCAAGGTCCTGCTGCCCAGCGTCCAGCCTCTGATCACGAGCTGACCCACTGTGTGCCCTCCCTGACCAACCCTTCTCATTCCAGTGCAAATTCCAGCCTCAGCTCAGGCTAGGGCTGCTTGCAGCAGACCAACTCGTCCACTGAGAACGACAGGGAAAGCAAGGCAGAATGCATCTCTCTTACGCTACCAGAACACTGACCCGGGTTCTGACAAAGACCAAAAGGGCCCGGATTCTGGAGAGGAGAGTAGGCTGTCCACAGCTGCTTGCTCCCTGGGCACTGGTGGTTATGGGCACGGGCAGGAGGCAGAACTTGTGGTGGCTTCACAGAGCTGAAGAGACGAACCCGGAGGCTCGAGGGGCTGTACACACATGGCCAGTTTTCCTTTGAGCGATTTGCCAGATTCTGACATGTGTGGGGCAGGATGGACATAAAAAGCTAAGCAGAAAGCCTCTGAGAGAGAGAACCAAGATGGCGGCATAGGTTAACGCCGGAGTTTGCTGCCTCGAACAACCATTTCAAAAGTGAAACTAAAAGACGGAAGGGACATCATCCAGAACCACAGGAACGCTGGCTGAGTGGAAGTCCTACAACTAGGAGGAAAGAGTAACGCATTCGGACACTCAGAGGAGGCGCAGTGCTGAAGTCAAATTCTGAGGTG